TTTCCCTGTGGACTCGGAAGAAGAGCAATTTCTTATTTGAATACATCACCGAAAAGAAGGGAGACAGATTGAAATCACAAGGCTGAAAGGTTACGGGAGTTTCACACAGACAGAAAGAAAGTGGGGACTTAAAGAAGGAGTAATAGCTGTTAAGATGAATAAAAGGCCACTGTTACATGCACCACAGAAAAGACATAAATAGATATCAAGCTTTACAAAAATGTGACACGTACTTTAATTGGTTGCTCTGATGAAAATAAGACGGCACATTATCGTTCTATTTAAGCTGTTTCCTATTTATCCTTGCAGTGACATCCCACTGCTCTGTGATATTATAAAATATTATCTTGGAGGATATGTCTTTTTCAATTTTTCTCTTCATCAGCAAATCACATGAAAAGACCAAAACCAACAATGACTTGATCCTACAAACAAGTATTGTCTGTGTATCCAATGATTGATCTTATTGCTCTGTGCCATTGACCTCCACTCTTTGCAAAAACTAATAAAAACACATTAATGAGCCCCACCGAGGCTGACCTTTTGCTGTAGTTTATTTTGATCTACACCAAATTCACATATTAAAGCAGTCCCAAACAAATGAACAATTACTCCTGTTTGAGATACATTTGCCCAAACTACAGCGCCCAACTGCTTTATTTATATTATTTATATTACTAAACCTTTTTTACAAATTAAACTTTATATTTGTGACTTGTTTTTGGATTCACATCTTACTAAGAACCAACAGACTTAAGGCTGAATGTCAAAAAATGGAATAGGGGAGTATTGAGTGTATAAAAGTATTGAGAGAACATGTTGTTGGTTTTGATCTTTTCATGGAAGTATGGATCAATTTTACATAAGTGCAGTTCAAAGTGCTTTGCAGGATAATAGAACATTAAAAGTCTTCCAGTGACGCCCATAGCTAGAGTTTTATGTTTTTACAGTGCTGGATGTTTATGTTGTTTGTCTTCCACATTACATGAAATGCATGCACTCACCCTTAGTCTTGTGTAGGGAGTCCTGTCTCTGTTGGAATTGAAATTGTGAATTGTGTAAAATCTTACAAGGAATTCACAGGAAATGTTTGGAAACATATAAAGTACTTCCATGAAGAGTACTATATAGGGAAGCAATTACAGAATGCAAATACCCTGAATGGATATTGCTGAAAAATGGCATCCACAAAAAGTAACAAAAATGTGATTTGATATAAAAGATCTTTGCATTAACAACTTTAAATCGGCATTAATTGTTTCTTTGGCCATATGAGTGCAGTGAAATGATGTGTAAACACAACATGAATTTTATATCACTGAATAAAGTTGGTATGGAAAATGTTTTAGCCAATAGTTGCCTGAGTGAATCCTTTCACATTACACATAAGTATTGATTTATGCAGCTTTAAGGTACAAACATTACTTTAGGAGCGAGCTGAGCTGAATGCAAAGGTTTTAAGATGGAGCCATCTCATTTTCCCGACCCATTATCTCCCTCTGTACACTGCAGTTGTCCAATTGAATAGATTTTGCAGCCTTCTTGTTTGACCTGAAAAAGACCCCTTGAATTTTGAAAGGTTGCCACAGTAAATCAGTGTAACGGAAATGCGCATTATCCTCCCATGTACTGACATTGGTCGTGGAAAAGCTGGCAAGATAACACCCTATAAAAAGTGGCTGTTGGAAATGAGAGCATAGCCGGGTGCCAGAGAGCTGGGACTGGGAGTTCACGACCGGATGGATGTCAGCTCGATCTGCACTGAATCAACACACAGCGAAGGTTGATAAGAAGGCTTAACCTCCTCAGCTGGTGAAGAGACTCTCCTGATGCCCACTTACATGTGTGCACAGTTTTGTAAAGATATGGGATGTACATAACGCACACACTGACGTTTTCACCTGCAGATACTGACAAATGTAGAGATAATGACACACACAGAGACACAGACACCGGCACGCACAGCCCACTGAGATCGGGGATGATCCTCGCCAAAATAAGCAACATCAATTGCTTTGAAAGGTTTTCATATCAGTCATTTTGACAAGATCAGTCAGAACAGGAGAACAGGAATGAAGTGGGAGAGAAAGTAGATGCAGAGGGAGGAGAGGGTGAGCTATAGATGAAAGACAAAAGAAGGACAAAAAGCAAAGAGATCACAAACAAAAGAAGAAAGAAAGTTGAATAAAAGTTTAGAAATGAAAGCAAGAGAATAAAATAGAGGGAATAGGCAAGGAGGGTAAAGCAAGAAACTATTTTGACACAAACCACTAGTTGAAAACAACACGTTCTGAGAAATCAAACAAGATAAGAGAAGGGGAGAGATAAGACACAGACAGGAAAAGCATCAGGAACAGTGTGAAAAAGAGAAGATGGAGAGAAACTTTTCTTTGTCAAAGTGGTAAAGCTTTAGCACTAAAGGAAGCTTCTTGCTCCTTGTCCCCTCCAACAATAAAACATGAAGGAAAACAGATGTGATAACCCTTGCTGCTCAATGTGATACAGTGTCAAGTACTGGGTAACACAAACACACACACGCACACACACACACTGACAAACACTCACGGTGTGTGGCCAGAGCCCCCTATCTGAATACCAGTGCTCATCCTGACACTCCAAAGGGGCTCAGCGTGTGCACTGTCTAAGATGTTTAATTCATACAGCCACTTGCTTGTGCTCAACATGAATGTGCGACGGAGGAGGATGGGAATGCAGAGCGTTATGCGCAACAACCAGGCTGAGGATGATGCAGAGACACAAGGGAGGGAGGCTACATAAATAGAGGAAAAAGGAGCGATAATGCCAATGAATGAAGAAGAAGAGAGAAGTATCCACGGCGACAAAAAAAAAAAAAAAGGTTATAGAAATAGACACAGCTGAAAACTGCAAAGCAATAAAATGATACCAGACACAGAAAGAAGGGATGGGGGAGTACATGTTTGTACATTCACCAGATGCTGGAACACACAGAAAGAGTGATGGATAGAATTAGAGCAGCAAAACCAAAAGAGAGAAAAAAGGGACAGAAAAGTGAGAAAACAGTGGAAAATTCGCAGACACACACAAAAAAATAAAACCCCAAAAAACTGTGTAGGTCTCATCCAGGCAGGTGGTGGGGGCCCAGAGTGCTGAGGGTGTATGTTGCAGGTCCCCGGAGAGGCAGGCAGGGGACTGAGTGCTAGCGATTTTCTGTCATATCTCTCTTTCTCTTCATCCCTCACGCCTGTTATCCACCTCCTCCTCCTCCTCCTCCCTCACCCCACCCCTCTCCACTGCAGCACATGTAAAGCAAATAGACGACAGCATGTGTAGCATTTGTAGGTATTAATTTCAAATCACCCAAAGATTGGTTTAATTGTGGGACTAATCTTGACACCTTTGCATAATTAGTTTCTCAAAATTAAGACCATGTTTTTTTGCAACCTGGATGTTGAAAGCCATCTCCTCCCTTATTGCAACTAGCAAATAAACAAGCAGTTCATTTCCCCCAAAACTGGAACCTAAAGTACTTTTTAGCACATTTAGGACAATCATATTATATAACAGCTTTATCTAATGGCTCCAACAGCTCTTGGTTTGAGAGGGTGTGAGAAATCCTTTTGACTTGTGTATATCTGCCTCATAACTATAGCTTTCTGATTCCACACCCGTCTATCTGATCAGTATAAAGCTGGAGCCAGCAGCTGGTT